TTTCATGTTAAATCAAAGATTTTTTTTGTGTTAAAGAAAAGGTGATCTTTTGTGATGTTAAAAATGAATGTTTTTTTTTAAGTTAAAACAAGTATTTTTTTCATGCTTAACAAAAAGTTTATTTTGATGTTAAATAAAAAGTTTTTCTTTGACAAATAAGAATATCACCATTCGGATTCGAATCGATGCGAGCTACTTTTCAAAAATTCAGTTCGATTCGGTTAAGTCGAAACGAATTATTCGTCATTCAATTCTGAAATGTATATGTTAATAAGATCAAAGTTTAAAATTTGAATAAGAAAGCATAATAGGTTTCACTTCGTTCTATTTATTAATCTTAGTTAACAGATATTATAAATTCTTCAACATAACAATAATATCAACCCGTGTTATTTGTTAATCTTTCACTAGATTTCATACTTATTTTAATTTTTTTTGTGTGCTTAATTAAGGTTTACACGATTTACTGTCCGTTGATTGCTTTTCAATTTTAATTAGTTTTTTTTCTGGAAAAGTATAATTTTTGCTGTTGCGAATTTATCATCCGTTGAGTGCATAAAAAAATCTTTTCAATTAATATTTTTCTTGTCTGACGATTTACTGTCCATTGATTATTTCGAACAAGGTAAATCAACAAAAGAATAGTCATTCCAATTATCAATGTATTGTCAGCAAAAAAGAACTCTAATAAATATATGAATAAATAACAAAAAACAGATGAATAAATGTTTAATTTTTTGATGGATGCTGAAAATTTTTTAGTCCACCAGCTTTCAAAAACGATGGAATATCGCGACGACCTTCATCATAACATTGCCACAATTTCATGAAAAATTCATTTGTTATGCCTTTATCTTTCCGTCGTTTTGAAGTTAGATTCCTCACATCATCTCGTAATCTTACACTCATTCTCACCCTCATCCTTTCATTAGAAAAATTTATATGATTTTTTGTTCCCAAAAAGCATTGATTGACGGAATGATTACTTACTTGTTCATTTCTCTTGTTCGAGGCAATCAACGGACAGTAAATCTTCACACAAAAATAACGTTAATTGGAATAAAATTTTTCTAATCAACAGACAGTAAATCCGCGGACAGCTAATCGTACACACATTTAATTAAGTATCCATTCTCATCGGTTCCAGCTTCTCTGTAAAGCAATCTCAAAACAAATGTTCTTTTATAAAAGAAAAATGACTTTAAAAACAATTTCCTTTATTCTATAGAATTATAATATCTTTATTATTTATTTTTTTCAGTCACTAAAACATTCTCTATCATCATGGACATTTATATCTGATGCAATTTTAATGGATTATTTGAACAAAGAAGAAATTTCACTTTCTAAAAAGTAAATTTTTATACAATTGATTAGCCTTTTTTGATGTTAAACAAAGACAATTGTTGTTTTTTTCTTTGCATAATCTGCTAATACATTTCTTTCTTTAACAACTTTGGTTTTCAATGGATAACGTTTCGTTATTGCTTTAGCATACAAAACAAAATTCAAAAAAAATTTTACTTTATTCATATTGAAAAATTCTTACGATTCTTTTACAAAAAAGAAGTTTCAATACAACAAAACAAAGAAATATTCGCAGTTTCATTTTATTATAACCATACAAAAAGTGTATCTTCATCTGTCGTGTTAGGAACTTTTGTTCGAAAAGAACGGATAATTGAATTCTGGAGATCGCGTAATTTTTTCTCATAAACTTTAACATATTTAATACAACCTCTAATCGTGAGAAAATTTAATTTCGAAGGATCGTTGATAAGTATATGTGATATTTTAAGGATCTGACAGTTAATACCCTGTAGTTCTATGACTTGCAAAATAGGTAATCGTTCGACGGTTAAATAGGCAATATTTATCAAATTTGATTGTTTCCAAAAAGTAAAAAGATTTAGTTGTCGTTTCAGGTATATCTGTAAACGTATATGCAGTACGATAATCTTTTGGAAAGTGTACACTAAATATGATGAGAGAATTAATTGGTGACAAGGAATTGAGAATCAATTGAAAAAAAAGAACGTTCAATGTCAATTAAATATAAATGACAAAGATTGATAAATGTAGATACATGTTCAGCTAACTATAAGCCATTATCAATAACTAATGTATCTGGGATACATAATGAAATAAGATGATTACAAATGTTTGGTTGTGATAAATATCTATAATAAAATTCGGTCACTGTCATACTCATTCCCTTGAGATCCAAGTAAACTAGCATAAATGGCACGTTATTTGTGATAGTAGCAAATCGTGAATTAAGATTAGAAAAAATATTGAATACTTCATAAAACTGGAAGTAAATAAATATTTCATAGAGTAATTTAATGGAGGGATGTTTTAATACTGTTGCCATAGTTTGTCTTAATATCATCATATTAAATATTGTGCATCATTCTTATACAATAGGTTTATGAACAATAGCACAAAGCATAATTGTTCTTCCTGCCTATAGTCACCGCATAAGACGGTATTATTATTGCTATTCGTCACCTTCGTAGGTCAACGTATATACAGTTTATTTTCTTTTTTTTTCGATCATTTTTTTCCAACAGTGTGTTTATAAGAGGTAATCATAAAATTTATCCGGTAGTTCATGAATTATCCTTTCTTCTTATACGAAATGAAACTCTTTTTTTTATATCACATATATGACAACATCTTCCAAAAAGAAAGCTGCATAAGAATTATGAATAATAATTAAAGTACTGATTACTTTTCTACCATTGTATATCATCATTTGGCTTCCGATGATCATTTTTTCAATACGTGAAATGTCAAAAAATATAAGACATCAAAATTCTATTTGTCTTCAATGAACTTTGAACATTACTTAATCCTTTCAGGACAGGTAATACATCATATATACCACAGCCGTTTTTTTAACAATGAAGTGTATTATGTATTCACGATTAGAAATAGTTGCATGCGCGCTAGAGTAGGCTTATAGTAGTGATATGCATCTAATGTGACTTGCTTGACCATGCCTCATTTTTCTCTCGTTTCTATCCTGCATTAATCTATCCAAGGGGTAAAAGGCGCACTTCTGTACTCCCTGGAATTCGGGAGTACAGGAGTCAAATGTGAAAAGAAGTGCTTCTGTACTTCCCTACTCCGTGGAATCCATGTCCTCCCACTATACTTTCTGGATTTCGAGAGTACGGAAAGTATAGTGGGAGTACAGTTTTATAACTAAGAAAAATATAAACCTAAACCCAAGAAGATAATGATGTAGTCGCCTACTTCGCGTACTTTCATTGTACTTCCGTATTCCTACGATCATCTTAGTATATCTCACGCACTTCCACTACACTCTTATTATACTTTTGTACCTTCACTGTACTCTCATACTCCCATTGTAGTCTTGTACGCCCGAAGTACGGAAGTACGCTTTTTCCTCCTTGAATAGAATCACATAATAATTTCTGTACAAGAGGAAATAAATGTTTATAAAGTTTTTCATAAGAAGTCTACATTCGAAAATCCGTAGGTAAAAAAAAATAATATCCAAATTCAAATCAAAAAGATTATTGAAGAAAAATCAAGGTGTTTTTTATTACCAAGATGAATCATTGGGTTTAAATCATCAAATGGAACATTAAATGTTATATAATTTTCATTATCTCATGCGCTGCTTCTTTGATTAAATAATTTGAAGTATCATTAATCAGATAATGATTAACACGATTGCCTAATGAACCAAGATATTTCAAAATACGAAATTGTACAAGACAAACATCACTATCAGAAGAAAAGCTATGGAAAAAAGGATGAATTTCTTCATTTACATCGAAATTTCTTCATAGATGTTTGATCTGTTCTGTCTTTTTAAGCATTCGTGTTGGTAAATTTCGTTACCTTCATCATAAGATAAACGAATCAATTCATCGAGATGAAGTAAAATTTGATCATAAAAAATCCGGTAAATTTAATGTTGATTGTAGCCATCATTCCAAACTATTTATTGTCTGTTCAAACTAGTATTAAATAAGTTAAACCAATACTTAAAGCAAGCTAAAAATATTCAAACATTGTCCTTCTTTCTTCATTCAAAGATTTTACTTGAATCACCGGTACATAATCAGCAAAATCATAATCAATACATTCTGATGGTAATGAGATAATAAATTGTATACATGATATAAGTAAATCATCTCAATATTGTTGTTGCTGAGAAAGAACTTCATGCGTAAATCATCGAACAAGTACATAGATGGCTGCGGCTTGTTCGTTTTCATTAATATCAGTTTCCATCATTTCAATATCACTACGAGTTGTTGACACAGAACGATTAGACTAAAGAAGTCCAAAGGTGAAAATGACGAGTATTATAATGATAAAATTACTTTGAAATAATCAAGTTTTAGACAAATATTCATAACAAATGTTATACTCCACTAACTAATGTGGATATCTAAAGAAAAAGATTTATTAGATAATTATTAATTAACTATGAATTACTTTGTGGATGCGGTGATAATATCATATAAAAATCTTGATATCTATTTTTCAAATAATTCCGATGATTTCACAGGTTATAAATCTCTGAACAAAAACTTCACATTCCTTCGACAATCTATTCAAATCTCATTCACTGACAAGAGCAAGATTATAAAATATTTGAAAATCTTTTGGTTTCATTGGTCGCATTCTAAATACTGGATCACTCGCGATTGTTTCCTCATTATTTTTCTCCAAATTTCAATTGAAACTAAAATCCAATTCCTTTTTCTTCTTACTTTTGTTTTATTTTTTTCTACATTTGAATGTAATCGATCAATAATATGTAAAATTGAATCAATAATTATATCATAAAAAGCAACGAACATATTTTATCGATCATATATTGAATAAATATTTGTATAAAATTCTTTTAATGTTGTGACATTTAAATATTGTTTTCCATAGTGGAAAATAATTTTCATAAGCAATCGTTTTACTAATTGAAAGTACTGATTTACTATTTTCTTCAGATAGATGATTCATAATTTTGTTAATTCTTGTTCAATAGTAGATTTTAATGGATTTGAACAACAATGAATCAATGCTCTTCGTAACTGAAAAAAACAAAATGAAGAAAAGGAATAATGAAAGAATTCAATACTAATTCCGCATAGAAATGGTTTAAAAGTATTTAATTTTGTTTGTAAAGCTAAAATCACTTTAATTACAGATGAACATGTTATTGCTCGTGATTTAGATTGATAACGTGAATAATAATCAATTGTCATCTAAGTTAAACATTCAAACGGACCAAGAAATTCTTCACGAATTTAAAGAAAAAAAAAATGAAATTAATCTCAAATAAAAATGAAATCTTTACATTGGTCATTTCAATAATAATCGCTGAAAGTGCTTTAATTAAGACACTTAAGAATATGAAGTCAAGTTTAAAAATAAACTTTGTAACTCATTAAGTCTTCTGTGAGCCGTAGTTGACTTATACGAATTGATTGAACTGCAAAAGAATTTCAATATCAAGAATACATATTTTCAGTTTTATCTACCACACAATGTCAATAGAAATGTAAGATAAATCATTTTATGTTGTTGTTAGAAATTTTGAAAAAGTTTTGCGTTTAATTTCTGCAAGACAAAAAAAAGATATAAAAGTTTATATACATATTAGTATATAGCGCCCTCTTTTCTATTGTAGAGACCACATCGAATTTTAGTGCAATGGCGATTTTCTATGTAAAGCTCTAGCTAATCCGATCGATTTATTATTTTATACAAATAAATTATTTGTATGAATCATTGTTTTATATACTCTTTCTTCTTTCATGAATTTTTTTATTTTTTTTATTATTTTATTTTTTTTCTTATTAGACAAACACATTTATTCATGTAATAAAATCAAATAATTTCGATCAATAAAATAAAGAATTACTGATGGAACCATCTCCATTTCAAGATCTTGCATATATTCTTAAAAATGAATTACCATCATTGAAAGGAAATCTTGCTGAAAATATTTCAAATCTTGCTAAAGTGGCTGATTTTTGTGAAGATAATTATTTAAATTCATCTAATCACGACAAATCACGTGTTTATGAAGATACAAAAAATTATGCTATTCAAGCGGTAAATTTTTGTTGCTTTATTCTGTATTTATATAAATTTATTTTGTATTTATTAGTTAGCAAGTGTGGCTTATCAAATAAATACAATAGCAACATCATTTTTACAATTATTAGATTTACAATCGAATCAATTTAATGAATTAGAAACAAATTTAAATGATTTAAGTGAAGATACAAATGTACACAAAGAAAAAGTAGCACGAAGAGAAATTGGTACATTAACGACAAATAAAACTTTAGGTCGACAACCATTATTTATCAAACCAAGCAATCCAGAAAAACTTGTACGATACGTTCGTAAACCATTAGATTATTCAATTCTTGATGATATTGGTTAAAAAAAATCAATCAATAAATATTTTTTTGAATAATAAATGAAGATTTTCTAATTTAGGTCATGGTGTTCGTTTATCACCACAAGATAATAAATCTCGTCATATGATTTATAGTAATGGTCTTCAACCGCAACAACAACCATCTACACCTCCATCAATGAAAAATGCAAATGCTAGTTTATCTAAAGCAACTGGTGCTAATTCATCTTTAATTTATGCTCAACGTTCATCTATTCAACAGGCACCACCTGTTGTTGTTCCACCAACTGATTATGCTAGTCGACATGATCTTATTATGAATAATGGTCATCAATATAATCCACATGGAAATCGTCAACAAACATCCTATAATCAATTGTTAATGATGATGAATAATGAGAATGTATATGCAACACGACACAATGGAATTTTAAATACAAATAATATGAATCGATATACAGGAGCAATGATGGAAAATGGTGGTTCAGTACGATCAAGAGCAACAAGTCAACCACCAGGATCAGCACGTGCTCCATTGCATATGGATAATTATGATCCAAGTACTCAACAACAAAATGGTAATGAATCACAATATATGGCTCAACAATCATATCTTCCACAATTTATACCTGCAGCACCAAATCATTTTTTTGAAGCAACAACAACATTACCAAGAAAAAATACCCGAGGATTTAGAAGACGTTTCGAAAATCTTGATTGGGCACCTGAACAATATCTTGAAATGGTTTATTATTTTTTTTGTAGATAAACTTTATTTGAGTTTTAATGCTTTGATTTTTTTTTAAAGGCCATTGCTTGTTATGATTATGAAAGTACTCGCGATGACGAATTAACATTTCGTGAAGATACAATCATTTTTATTGTTGCAAAAAATGATGATGGCTGGTTTGAAGGAGTTATTGAACCTGGCATTCGAGGTCTATTCCCAGTGAGTCATGTAGTTCTAAGTAATTATCGTTTTAATAACTCATTTTTTTTCTTAGGGAAATTATGTCGAACCATTATGTGAATGATAACAATATGATTCTAGTCATATATATATATATATACATATAAAGCATCTCATGTCATTTAATCTTTATTGTGTTATCTATTTATACATGCTTCCAATCATGGTCGTCAGATTTCTTTTCACAACGCCGATTCGATCAACTTCTCGTTTCTTTTGTCAAGAAATAATCAAAAATAACAGTGAATCTTTCTTTTTCTTTGTGTTGTATTTCTTGACATGATCATTGTCTTGCTTGCTTACTTATGTATACACGATTAAAAAAATCTTTTTTTTTTCTGAGCATGCTATTTATCTTTGTTGTATAGTATTGTTAATAGCCAGATAGGTGTGTGTATGGATTACAATAGATCACCTTGTCTTGCCTTTTTTCTTTTGTTTTTTTTTTTGATGTCATTTCTTCAAGAAAAGCGCTGCTTTTTGTTATCTTAAATATATATCTATGCGCATTAAACAATAATAAACCGAAATGAGATAGATTGCTGTCTATGTTACAGAAGAAATCCTAATATACAGAAACTTAAAATGCTTCTAAACAACAACAAAAAACTTGTCAGAATTTTTATTTACAAGGATTTTGTATTGCCATGAATATTATTATATTATCTTTGAAAAGTATATAGTCTTACAAAAGAATAGAAACGACTTCATGTAGAATAAATGACAAGTTATTATAATCTGTTAAAATCACTAAGTATTCTCACATGCATTTTCCAGTTTGCATCAGCAGCTTTCAGAATATTTTTAAAAATTTTCAATTCTTATTTTATAATAAAGTGGAAAGAGTAACGGTACGAATGAAAACGAAAAACAAGACTGTGTATATAGAAAATCTAGCTGAAGATGAGAAATAATTCTCACGAATTATAGTGTTCGTCTAGTACTGTTGAAACATGTTATATACTATTAAAAAAGAAAACAAATTTGATAGACCATGATAATCTCTCATCTTTTTCTGTCTGCATGAATATGGAACACAAAATCATGCCATTATTTACGTAATGCTTTCCTGAGAAGGAACATCGACATTAGTGAACATACTGTTGTTTAGGAGGATTTTAATTTCTCTCTCGGAGGAAGCTTAAATTGCTCTAAATATTAATTTTCTCTGTAATGTATATGTTGGTTTATGAAAATAAATGATACAAGATTTTTATATCTTTTTTAAGTACAGTAAAAAGATTGAACAATTAGTTGAATTTATGTGAAACGATATAGGAATTGGGGAAAAAAAACGGCGGCTCACAAGCTTTCTTGCATTGTGGTTAAATAAACAATGAAGACAATGTTGTTTTTCTATCATTGAAGAGGCATTATCTTCTTTTCTATTTGACGAATTAGTGAACATTCATGGATAGCTTAAACCTATGCTTTATTGTTTTTTAATATATTATACTTCACTCAACTTATTAGTTGGTTATATGAACTGAATTCAAGCTCATATTAGATATACAATATGAATTATCATGTTGTGCTGTATCTCAATCATCTTCCCATATAGAGAAAATCAAAGTATCAGCTATGTTTCGAGCTTTTGTTACTTTTGGAGTACGTGGGAAAGATATTAATTTGAAAAGAAAAACAAATTTATGTATATTGTAATGTTTCGATACGATGACTTTTTTTGCAACGTTGAAGATCTGAAATCTTCTTTTATAATATATGCCTTTCTTTTTTGTTCATGTAGGTGTAAAAACTAAAGTTCTAGGTCGTATTTAGTATAGCCGATTAGAAAACTTATATCGTCTGAGAAATTTTGTAAAAGCTTAGAAAGAATACGTACACATATATATGTGATTGTCATTTATATAACTTTATTATGTCTATTTATTGATATTCTCATTGATAGATACTAATAATTAATTGAATTTTCGATATCATCAAGACAAAATTTTTAGATCATATTTTTATTGAATAAAATGTCTTACTGAAAAAGATTTGATCAAAACTCGATTCATGGTATCTCAATTGCAGTGTAATATTTATATATATATATATATAAATGTATGTATAAAAGATAAAATTTACGCATGAACGATTCATTGATTCAGTCACCTTTACGAATGATGAATAGATCATTTTATTCTTGATTCGTCTGAAATGAAACATAAAACATCGTTTAAACGAAAGCGAGAGAAAAGAACAAAGAAGAGCGTGAAAGTTATTAACCGATCAAATAAGAAAAAAATAAATAAAATTGCTTAACCATTCATTTTAACTTTAAATTTCATATTATATAGATATAAAATTTTGTTTTTTTCTTAATAAAATGCACGATAAAAACGATCAAGAAGTAGAAAATGAAAAAAAATCTACTCCAGAAAAACCCAAATTAAGTTTAATGAGTGGTATTGCATTACTAATTGGTTCAATTATTGGTTCGGGAATTTTTATTTCACCACGTGGTGTACTTCTTGGTACTGGTAAGTTCGAACCTTTCTCTTTATTATTGATATTGATAAAAATTTATTCACATTTCTTTCTTAGGTTCTTATGGTTTATCAGTTTTGATATGGATTATATGTGGAGTAATTTGTGTTCCCGGATGTTTATGTTATGCCGAATTAGGTACAATGATTCATAGTTCTGGCGGAGATTATACATATATTAAAATGGCATTTGGTGATTGGGCTGGTAAACATTTTTTTTCCAATTAGTTCTTCAAAAAAGAAGTTTTTTTTTGAATATTTTTTAGGTTTTTTACGAATATGGAGTGAAATATGTTGTGTACGTCCAGCTATAATTGCTGTATGTGGTATAACAGCATCAGCTTATTTACTTCAACCACTTTATAGTCCATGTTCTCCACCTCATTTAGCTATAATACTATTAGCTTGTCTTTTTGTTTTGATATTAACACTTCTTAATTTATTGTCAACTCGTGGAGCAGTTATGTGGCAAAATGGAACATTTTATGCTAAAATTTTTGCATTAGTTCTTGTTATTAGTCTTGGAATTTTTCAATTAATACGAGGTCAAAATGATGTATTTGCATCTCCATTTGCAAATACTCAAACAAGTGTTAAAAAATTATCTATTGCACTTTATATTGGTTTATATCCTTATTCGGGTTGGAATTATTTATCAAATGCTATTGAAGAATTAAAAAATCCAGCACGTAATTTTCCAATTGCAATTATGACATCAATTATAGCTTGTACAATACTTTATTCACTTGCTTATAGTGCATATTTTACATCATTAACACCTTATGAAGTAATGACGTCTGATGCTGTTGCTGTTTCATTTGCAGAAAATATTTATCGACCACTTGCATTTATTATGCCTTTATTTGTATCAATATCAGCTCTTGGTGGTCTTAATGGGCGTATGAAAATTGAAATAAATTTAATTGAACTATTCTTCTTTGTTTTTTTTTCTTTTCTCATTTTAGAAATCTTTACAATTGTTCGTATGTTTTCTGTTGCTGGTCGTGATGGTCTGTTACCGACAATATCTGCTTATCTTCATATAGATCGTTTGACACCTGTCATTCCATGTATTGTTGAAGGAATACTTGGTAAAATTAATTTTAGATTTATAAAAGGAATTTATTATTATTATTAATTATCTTTTTTTTTTTATCAAGGTGTTCTCTATGTACTTGTTGGGGATGCTGAACGTCTTCTTGGTTATTTAAGTTTTAGTACTTGGCTTGTTTGTTTATGTGGTGCAATAAGTGTACTTATTTTTCGTCGTACAATGCCCGATGCTCCTCGACCATTTAATGCTGGTGTTATTGCTCCAATTGCATTCATTATTCCAATGACTCTTCTAACTCTTGTTAATATAATATTTAATCCAATTGATATTTTAGTTGGTGTGCTTATTCTTCTTTCTGGTTTACCTGTCTATTGGATATTTGTTCTCTATCGGCCTAAATCAATTGATAGATTCAGCCAATCAATTGCTATATATTTACAAAAATTATTTCTTGTAGTACCAGATGATGATAAACATCATGATTAAATTTGACATAACAATAACAATAAATCGTTTGTTTTATGTTTTTTAGTTGAAATAAAAAATAAATAGGAATAGCAATCTCGAGCATATATGACAAATATAATTGAACTACTTAAGACGACGACAACTATAAAGAATTAAAGAAGAATTAAGAAAAAGAAAGAAAAAGAAATCACTGGTATGATTTATTCTACGTCTTTATTGGTAGACTAATGTTGGATAAACGAGAAAAAAAACCCGTACGCGCTGTCTTGTATTCTTTCTTTTTTTTTTTACGAAGTTTGCCTACGTCGTGATAAATCAAGAAAATATTAAAATGAACGAAGGTAAACTCTCTATAATTGAATCAGAGGGCAAAAAAAACATTCTTCTCTCGTCATTCTCATAAATTTTTTTACTTGTTCTACCTTCGTGTTAGTTTATAACTTACTTTCAGCCGAAACTAAACGAGAAAATACTTCGGAAAAAATACATGGCACTTGTTTTTATTATTATCGATTGCTGTTGATTATCGTCTACAGCATTTCTTTTGAATATATGGAGGCTATTAAAATTCCTAATGCAGCACTACTTGATGTTTTCGGACATCCTGTTGCTATTAATACTCATGATCGTCGACAACCATCTATCACACCAAATTCATTTCCTATTGGACAACGTGATAAAAATTTAACAAACAATCATTCGGAAGATCATAAAAAACCTACATCACGTACTAATTCTGTTTCTAAACTAGATAATGCTGAACGATTAACTGTTATAGGTGAGTCAATTATTTTTCTAGATTTTATTTTAATAAATATTAATCACAAAAGATATGAGTATTTAATTCTTCAAATAAAAGGAAAATCATCCACAAGATTTTTTCTTACTGTTTCATTAACATTCAATTTAAATATCAATTAGACTTGACTAGATTTTTGAATACTTAATATTCATTAATGAATGGGTCGAAAGTTTTGAGATAAAATATTTTTTTATTTCTAGCTACCGTGAAAGTGTTCCCGAAAAATTAAAAGCTATGAGTTATGACCAGAATTTTGTGCTCTTTCCGAATTTAGGCTTATGATGAAACCACCCAAGATGATACTTCGCGTTTGAGACGAGACCCCAGTCATTACGTAGGACCTGTTGAGGCTAGAAGAAACCTAGAAGAATTCTTCTCAGTGTACTGCTTTTGTTGGAATTATGGTTGTTACACTGAAATTTTGGTCTTTGGTACAGGCTTTATATAAAAATCGATCAAATGAAATTTGATCTAAAATTTTGTCCATAGGCAACTCTTGAAATCATTAGAATTTTCTAAAAATTTCAGCCAAAAAGAGTGATCTTTTCTTGAAATATCAAATCCAAAAAAAAACAAACATAATATTCCACCAAAAGGATGGAAAATCTAGGTTTTTTGTAGATTTAATATCTCGAGAGGAGGCTACTCTCTTTGGTTGAAATTTTTGGAAAATTTTAATAATTTTAACAGCTGTCTATGGACAAAGTTTTAGGTTGAAATTAGTTTGTTCCATTTTTTCTTATGAGTATCGTACCAAAGGTAAAATATTTAATGTAACAACCATATAGGGTTCCATCTTAAATGCGAGGTGTCACTTCGGGTGGTTTCCTCGTTAGAACTTTTCTTAAGATCAATCGGATGATCAATAGTTTGGACGGAAACCTTTTCCATACACTGTCGTGTTTTCATTATTGCAACTCGAAAGTTAATGTTGATACGTTTTTTAATATATCTGCTTGTAGAGTAGAAACCACTCTATAAAATGTACTATCGGAGGTTTTTCTACAGATCACTTCAATTTTAGTTTCTCTATTAACTCCTCATGTTTGAAAAATCGACTTTTTGACTAAAAGGCGTTTTGTATAGGAAGGAGCTCTTAGAAAAATGTCTATAGTTTCACTTACGTAGGTAAAAGCCATTGTTTCGTTCAATATAAAATTTTGTAAAGAAGTATCTGCTCGACAAAACAACCAACTAACTTGGATAGTTTTTTGTACCTTTGACAAGGAATTAATAGGAATTAGCAAAAGTCTATTGATCCAGTATTCAGTCTTACTTTTTAGGCTTTTAAAAAATTCCTTTACTAGTTTCAAATAAAAACAGACATAATATTTCTAATTCCATTTTTAAGGTGAGCATAAAATTCTGATCATCATCGATAGGTTTTGGCTGGTCTGAGATACTTTAAAACAGATTACAATGAACAATCATTTGTACCAGAAATTGTGGCTCACACTTTCCATCCAAACTTATTTTTTGGATCTTTCAAAGATTACCTTATTACTCACAAACAAAAATTAAGATAAAATTTCTAAGGCTATATTCGGAAAGTGCACAATATACTGATCCTTATCCTTAGTTTTGAACCTCTCGGAAATACTTTCAAAGGATCTAAAAAATAAACACGTATTTTATGTCAAAACTTTCTGTCTATTCGTTATTTTGTTAAGACTAAAATAAAGAAATTAATATTATTTTTATTTTTAAAATTATCTTAGGAGAAACTGCACTCCATATTGCTATTGTTTATAATGATATGAATTCAGTAAAACTTTTAATAAAACACGGTGTTGATGTTAATAAATGTGTTGTTGGAGATTTTACTACTCCAGAAAAAGATGGAAAAAATAATGGAGATGAAAAAGGAAGAGGAAGAAAATTTCTATTACCTTTTCATCGTGATAAAACATCAGAAAAACCATTTAATCCGCAAAATGGTAGTCCTGAAAGTAAAATTCATATTAATCTTTTTTTCTTTTTCAAACTTGAAAAATTATTTTCTTTAGGTCATGCTTATTATGGTGAATATCCATTAGCTTTTGCTGCTGCATTTGGTCATTCAGAAATATATGATTATTTAATTCAACATGGTGCCGATCCAAATATGCAAGATTCTTATGGAAATACAGTTCTGCATATGCTTGTTATTCGAGATGGAATAGTGAATTTTTATAAAGGAAAATTTTTTTTAATAATATATTTTATTTATAATCTAGGATATGTTTAAACATGCTGTTCGACATCCATCAAAAAAAGGACGTACAGATATCCGAAATAATTTAGATTTAACGCCATTAACATTAGCGGCTAAACTTGGTCGTAAAGCACTTTTCCTTGAATGTCTCGAATTAGCTCAAGTGGTAAAGAATTATTTTATCATCGGTTTTTTTCCTGTCATAGTTTAACATATTCGGTTTTTTTTTGACCAATAAGAGAAAAAAAATCAAGCTAGAGATTTCTTTTAACGAGTAAAAAGTATCAAAAACTTCTCTAATCGAGAAATCTTTTACCACTGTATTTGAAATTCATAGTCATAACAAAGAAGTCTCCACTATCCCTTCCCCCGAATCGAGAACCCTACTATCTACAATTTTGTTCTTGGAAAAAATCGTTGTTCTATCATTTAGTTTTAAATTCATATCACAAATACAGTTCTGTGAAAAATTATAGAATCATTTTCCACCTTTGACTTTTTTCGAATTTTTTTCTTTACTAATGTCACTTTTACTTTTAAAATTCGTCGTAATTATATAGATTGGCATGTACTCTCTCAGTAATTATTGCAATAATTACTGGAAGAGTACATGCGAATCTATATATTTACGATAAATTTTAAAAGAAAACAATTCGAAAAAAGTCAAAGGTGGAAAATGATTCTATAATTTTCCACAGAATTGTATATATCAATCTTGTGATTCAACATATGCAAAATGTCTCAGTTATAAATTAAAAAAAAACCTATCTTGAATTGAGTCGTAAAATCTAATTAAATTGTCTTCAAATGATGATGACAAAGATTCATATTTATGAGCATGTCAACAAACGAAAAACAATTTACAAGAACATTCTCAAAGCCTTTCTTCTTTGGCTCATTTTATGCTTGATTCCAGTTTCCTAAAACGATTACTTTACCTTGAGATCAGATTTGCAAAAGAAAACATCTGTGACAATTACTACTATAAACAGTAATTATATATTGGGAAAATTTATATGCTGTTCTTTCATTATTTGTTCAATGTGACAGATATTTATTAAAACTAATGTTCAAGGTACAATTTTTTGAATGTTTTCATTGTGAATATAAATTATGATTATTGTTTAGTGAAGAAAAAATTAATCTATATGATCGAATTATGTTGGATATATTTAACCTAACATATGTAATATAACTTCCATGATATTTCATACATTGTACTGTCCTGACACATCATTTGACGGACGTTCTTTTTTTTTGAACGCCTCTTTCGCTAGAATTCTGATAGATGTAATGATCCATGGTTAACTTTATTCAAATTTCATAGTTTTCTGAACAATAACAACATTTTATAAAATGTTTTGAATTAATATTTTTCTAGGAAATTTGGCGTTATTCTAATATAAAATGTTGCACATATCCTCTTCGTGGTATTGATACAATAACTGATGGTGGTCAAATAGGTTTGTTTGAATTCTTTTTTTTTATGATTATTTTTCTGTTTTATTAATATTAAAGATTGGAATTCTTCATTAATGTCAATTGTTAGTGGTAAAACTGAAGAGCATTTAGATATGCTTGATAATATGGTCATTGAACGTTTATTAAATGATAAATGGTCATCATTTGCTCGAGTAAATAATTAAATATAATAATAATAATAATAATAATAACTAAAGATTTTCTATTTTCGTTTTTTTTTAAGGTTACTTTTGTTCGACAATTAGTTTTACTTGGTTTACATTTATTATTTTTAACAACCGCCGTATTTTTACGTAATCCAAAAGATAATCAACCATTAGCAAAAAGAATTCTATGTCATATTGCTGAAACATGTGTATTATGTGGTTGTATATTAAGTGTTTTTACATTACAAGCACAAGAAATTTATTTACAAGGTTTTAATTATTATTTACAAAATTTAGTAAATGCAAAATATTATATATATATATTTTATTTCTAAGATCATTTTTTCTTTATAGAAAAGTTATCCTGAAAAAGTTCTCTATCAATGTTCATGTATACTTATAATTCTCGCAGTACCATGTCGTATATTATATTTAATAACAGATGATGTGACATTTGGTTATTTTGAAGATGGTCTTGTATCACTTGCTATACCTGGAACATTTTTATTTTTTCTTTTTTTTGGACGGATTTATGAATTAACAGGTGCATTTATCGTTATGATATTTGAGATGATTACAGGAGATATAGCTACGTTTGGTGTTATTTATATTATTGTTATTACGGCTTTCGGTCAAGGTAAAAAGGAAAATATTGATAAATTTAATTTCATGTGTAATTCTTTTTCTTTTTTTTCATTTAGTTTTTTATTTATTATTTCGAGATACTACTGAAGGTGGAAATTGTGAACGTGCAGTAACAAATGATACATGTGGAAATGATAATTTGTGTTCATTTCAGAATTTTGAAGCTTGGATGACTATGGTGCATTTTACATTGGGAGAATTTGATGTAAGAATTATTGTTTAATTTAATCTATTAATTTAATTTACTTTTTGTTTAGTTTTCTCGTTTTGATTTAACACATTATTCATATTTAGTGAAAATTTTATTTATTGTTTTTATGATATTAACACCTATACTTTTATTAAACATGTTAATTGCTTCAATGGGTAATACGTATCAACGTGTTATTGCAATTAGTGAAAAAGAACGTATTCGACAGGTTGGAAAACATTTAAAGCAACACTCCCTTCCCTTTTCCTTTCTCAAAAATCGATCTTGAGTCAAGTACATTCAAATCACATGAAATTTTCATAATTTGTTGGAACTGTAGTTAAGAGGCTATGCTAAAGTTTTCAGCTCTATATCATTACGTTTTTGGTAGATATTCGACAAACAAGTGTCAAAAATAGCTCATTAGATAACCAAAAATATTCTGTATGCCTTTATACTAGATACCTAATTATCTTTTTGTTTGAAAGAACATATCAAGATGCACAGCATGGCAGGCCTCTTTTCTTAAATGCTTGCTTTTTAAGCGTAGAAAAGTTTAATGTCTCACAAAAATGGTGCTCTAATTATAAAAGTACTCTTTTGTATAATAATAACAAAGGGTAATTTAAAGAAAATGACTCTACCATGCCTTGCATCTTGCCATGCTTTTTCAAATAAAAACAAGTCAATGTATAGAATGAAGGCTCACGAAGAATTCTAGGTTACACGATCAAAAGACGAAAGAACATGTTTCACTTTTTCTGAAAATAGCATATTTTTCAAGTAGATGATGACGGAAACTATGCAAGGTCTTGGTAAAAAACAAGAGATATCGAACAAAAAAATGTCATATCATTTATAAAAGATCACAAATCGGTCAATATTCCCACGTATTTATCTTGATTTTCATTTTTTTTGAGGAGGATGGGGAGGGGATGGTCTTAAACAATTTCTCTTTTTTGCTTTATTGATGTTATTTTTCTTTGTAAGTGGGCTCAACTTGTATTAACAATTGAAAGATCTTGTCCTGCAAAACAACGATTTGATTATCAAGGTGTATACGCAATTGGTGCTGATGATAAACGTGATTTAATGGTTATAAAACGAGCAACAAAAAGTAAAGCAGCACAAAGAAAAGGAGCAATTGGTAATTGGAAGGTAAATCTTAAAAAAAACAAAAATAATAATAAGAGCTTTTCAAGGTTAAAAAAATAAAATCATAAAATAAATCTTAGTCATCAAATAACATTTATAAGATATGTTTTAAATGACATTTTCTTTTAGCGAATGGGAAAAATTGTTCTTTATTTACTAAAAGAACAACAAACAACAGCTGAGCATGTTCGTCTTCGTCGTGTATCACATCAATCCGTTGTATTTAAACCCAAAGCACAATTTGATAATATGCTTGAAACTCTTGCATGGGAACGTGATATTGATTTATCTGGAACAAAAGCATTATCATCATCAAATCAAAATATTAATTTAAGTTCAACACAAAATACGGCAGATTTAAATTCATCTGTATCACGTCCACCTTCACCTCCACCTCCACAATTTGTAACACTTGAATTTCCAGCTCCATCATCAATACCACAACGATTAACTGGTGATAAAAAAATAATGCGTCGTTCAGAATTATCTGAACTTCGTTCTCGACCATCATTTGTTGATTATGAAGATTTAGAAATATTTCATCATGGACGAACATCAACAAGAGCATCGAATGTTTGGCATCCTGAATCGACTCGACGAACTTCTATGATGCCTGTTGATGCTGATGGTTATAAAGATTTACTTCTCGATGTTGATAATAGTCATCAACAAGATAATAAAAAAAATAAATCAAATCAACTTATACCTCGTGGTACATCGAATATAAGTATTAAATCAAAAATAAGTGAAACAACTATTTGTTAGTTGTTTCTTTTTTTTTTTGAAGTACATATTATTATTATTTTTTCTTTCTCTTTCTATGTGCACATTTCTTTTTCTAATAGATCAAAAAAAAAACACAAAGATCACGTTTAGAAAATCATAAACCATATAAATGAAATCAAGGATTTTTGTTTTTGTTTTTTTTGTTTCCATTTGTCGATCTTTACAATAAAAAAAAACACGACTAAATAATTACAAGTAGATTATTAAATATATGTTGTTGTAATATCAAAGAACAAAAGGACATACATTTAAAAAAATTAAAATATAGGCTATTTCTATTATGGTTGATTACCACCTTTAAAACCTTGAACATAGCCTGTTGCTTCAGCATCATCAGATCGACCTTCTTTACCTTTACCATGACCTTCTTCATCAAAACGTTCTTTATGTGTACCTCTGCAAAAAAACTATATGTCATTATAAAAAAAGAAATTCGTCAAATAATTACGTGTAGTGTGATATATCTGTCATTCGATCTGTAATATCTTTATTCGCAGTTTCGGTTACATGTGTAAGGCTAGGACCTTCATTTTGATTAATTTTCGTTAAAATTTCATCAGAACTAACACCTTTTGATTCACCAATACGATCAATTAACAATTTAAAACCTTTTATTTCAAATGTTTTTCTAAATAAATAATGAATATTAGTTTGAATTCGTGTAATTTTCTTTTCGTTTTTACTTACGTTCCTTTTGGATAATGAGGACAACCAGCTTCAGGTGTTCCTGTTGTTAATTTTCCAAGTACACGTGCAATATCATTATCCAATAATTGTGATGTATATTTGGAATTAATTAATGAACAATCTTTCATCATTTTTTGTATTCCAGCTGAACCTATTCGAAGTTCACTATGATCAGTTAATTGTGCATGAGTTTTGCCAAATTTAGAATATTTATCAAACGCTTCTCGTAACCCTGATGCTGTAGAAGATTTTGATGCCATTGTAAATGTAGATGTGTCTATCAAGGCAGTTACAAATGTGTGTGTGAGTAAAGAAGGCAGAATAAAGAATATGTTATAGGACTGCCGTCTCTCTCTATATAATTAGAATGGGGCTTTTTCTCGCGTTTTTTTTTCGTTCCTGCTTTCCGGAAAAAAAGACTCGTCGCTAATGTCCTAGGCCGTCATTTGTCGATGCCTTGCGCTATAGATCATTTCTTCTCTTCTTTTTCTCGTACTTGTCTCTTCTGTCGTACATTCTTATCTATTACTGTCAGTAGTTTTTTTTATTCTCGCCTTTTGTCGTCATTTCAGAGTCAGTCAAAGACGATGAAACAGAGAAAAAAATGAGAGCGAGAGTTAGGAGGAAAAAGAAAAAAAAGATATATAGTTTCAGTCCTATAACTAACATACAAAGCTTAAACAAATTGATGAATGTTCATGACATGAAAAGCTAATCTCTTATATTTATTTTAATAGGACATTAGTAGATCATTTTCATGGTGCTAGATATGGATTTAATTTTTTTGTTCGTGTGTTGAGTTTGAATAAAATTTGTCTCAAATTGATAAAAATAAATGATGCCAATTAACAACAGAAACATTGAGCTAAAGAAATGCAAAAGAACTTAATGAACTAAACTCTTTCAAAGTGCAAGCGGAAATGATAATATTAATAATCACCATCGTTTTTATTGACACACATCCGTGTCAACCAGTGCATTCAAATCAGATATATAACACATAATGATTTAAAAAAAGCACAGAAGGAATAATTAATAAATCTTATTTGATAAAGAAAAAAAATTAATAATAATAAAAGTTAAAGTTTATTGATAAGAATGAATAATAATATAATGTATCTTGAAGAAAAATATAAAAAGAAAAAAGATGCTTGCAAGTTCAATGAATTTGCGTAAATTTTATTACTATGAATTAGTCGAGTAGCTAAAAAAAAACATGAAATCATTAAATATGAATTAAAATGAAATTTTAATATAATTAAAATAACACACAACTAATTTGATTCTTGTATTGGAAATGAGATGATTCAGTATAAAATAATATTTGAGTACTCACTATGTCAAAATCTTATAAAACTATAACAATAATCTATTTTCATCAAATATTTTATAAACAAAAACATTCCATCAATTCTTTCTTTTTCTTTGTAACAATAAGAAATAGTTCAAACTTCACAACACAATATTTGTGTTTTTTTTACTTTCATTACGAATATGTAAAATATCAAGAGGAAAAAAAAACAAAAAGTAAGACGAAGATTACAATCAGTTTATTTTATCGACAAAATGGGAATAGAAAAAAAAATATTTATCATGTTCTACAAGTAATAATCAATAATTTTTTGTCTAAATGAGAAAATATATTAGATTTTGACTCTTCTATGCATTATTATATGAGAGTAAAAAAAATTAAAACAACTAATAGCATAAGAGATAATTCCATCGAGAAATCGAACCATTATTTTTTCTTCCGATTATGAATTTTTTATTGTTGTCAAATCCAATCGAGTAATGCATCGATTCTTTTTCATCACTTACGTGTATTTTACGCATACACACAAGTGTTCTTGTCCGATCAAAGAAGACTTTTATTCGGTCTTATAATTTCTTTCAGTATGCATCCTTCGGTTCCTTCATCTATGGTCGTTTTTTCGTTTACATTTCGACTTTTATGCATTATTTTTTGCATTATTACTATAGTAAGTAAACATTTTTGAATTGTGAATAGTAGTTATTGAATGTAATATTTTTCATCAAGAATTTCGATTCAATTTATTATTGACTGTATGATGAATATTTATTTTCATTTTTAGACATCATACAAAATCAGTTATCGTCCTTCAACTGGAAATCGAAATGAACGAGCTGTAACTGAATGGCGTTTTCGTCGTCAACATTTACTTAATTATCCTTATTTTAAATCAAGTTATGACAAAGTAAGTTTATTCTTGTTGAAGTTTTTATGTGATTTTTGTTATTGGTTTTTCTTTATTTTTCTTTTCAAAGAAACATTTGATAAATGGTGAAGTCGATAATACTAATCAAGCTGATGAAATTAAATTCAATGAAAAAAAATTCATTATTCCTCAACTGATGTATCGTCAGAATGAAAGAGTAAAATAATGACTAAATATTATTTAAAATACTTGAAGAGAAGTATAACAATAAATAAGAAAAAAAATAATATATCATTTTTATTTGTTGTTTTGTGTTATTTTCGCTTCGAAATTTATATTGTCAACTAAACGTTCGAATTGAGTACATCTATCATAAAAGGAAAAAAACGAAATAAAAAAAACTGCTTAACAATGACGATGGAGAAATGGTAGAGAAGAGTAAAAAAAAAAAGAAAAAAAAAATTGTAAAGTGAAGAGTTTCACATTCATGGCAGTGTTTACCGGCAACCATTGCAGCCAGCAGGCAAACAGGCATGGCAATCCCATCTATATGTATATTGTGTTAAAGAAAAAAAAGTAAAGTTTAGTGCTTTCAAGTGAGTGTTGACAACAAGCAACAGAGAAGAAGAGAGAGAGAGGCTGAGGGAGAAAAAGTTTGTATGTATGTAAGCAACTAAGCTCAGAGAAAAAAAAATGTGATGATTCTCATAAAATAGTGAGTTGAAAAGGGTACAATGTCAAATCCTGCACAAGTTCTATCGAGACATCGAAAAACACCATTACCACCTGTAGTACCAGCGCGACAAACTCTTATATCATGGACACACAGTAATCAAAAAGGTAAGTGTATATATACGTGTGCCGTTGAATTTGTATGTTAAATGTGATAGCCTAATATCAACAATAGGAATTTCTTTGTCATCTGATGTTTAATAGTAAATAGACATGATACAACGAAATGATCCGAAGAGACAAAATATATGTTGTTCGTAATTTTATATTGTTGTTATAGTCTACGTCTACTTAAAAGAAATATATGATGACGGATAAAATGCCAAACACCTGTGTGCAAAAATTTCTTTTTCTTTTATTTTATTATAAAAATGATTATTCGTAAGAATTCTCAGCGGATATTTTGTTTTCTTTTTCTTACTTAAATCTGTTTTTATATATGTATTAACAAATGAAATAACAAAAAATTTTCATATGATAAGTGAAAATTTGTCTTGTAATGATTTATATTATTGCACTCCATTTCCCACAAGAACTATAGACTATAAGTGAAACAATCTGTTGTACTTCGTCGTTTTCAAGTATATATACATAAAGAGAGAGATTTGCCATATCAATATAACTTCTAATTTGTTAATGTACTGGTTTCAATATAAGTATTAATATGCATTAAATGTCTTTTTTCCTTACTAATTTCTAACAATCTATAATACATCCTTTCGATGGATTTTCGTTGGAATAATAGATAAGAAATAAAAACCACTGTGCATACTAATAGAAAGGTCGATGGCAAATAGAATGGCATCATTGCTATCATTATTATCTATAGCGAAAATGCCAGTGTGACAACTACTAAGACTATGATGCCATTTTAACATAAAACATAAATTCCACTTAGGATATAGTAAACGAGAGATTTTTTTGTCGTGCATTTATTCTTCTTTCATTGAATAGTCTTTATGTATCGATGTATGTGAGTTCATTTTTTATTTCTTGTACGTTAGGCTATTATATTCATTGTTTCTCTTTTTCTCATATATTGTTCGGTATTGAGACGGAGTAATAATCATTAATTCGGATCTGGACGTATCAGTGACGTATCTGTTTCGCCCACTTAATTTGTCTTCTCTTTTTTGTCTTTTGCATTCGCTTGCACGATTCTCCGTTCTCTTTTCACATTCATCCTCAATAATTACAATAAAAACAAGAGAACGATGACGTCTATGACAAAAAGGAGAGTGAAGAACGATAGAATGCACACATACTACCGTACGCATTCTATATAAAAGAGCGCTCTCCTTGGCGGCAGTGACGCGGAGCCCGACACACATACTAAATCCGATCAGTACTATTATATACTTGATTTAAACAAGTTGATTAAAAGTGAAGATAGAATTAATAATAATAATAATAATAATAATAATAATAAGTGAAGTATACAATAAAGACCGAAAACGGTGCCCCATCGATTTGGATCGTCTTGGTGGCTGTTGGCCGAAAGGTATGATGATGATGATGATTTGGATCATATGATAGAAGAGAATGATAGTAATGATCATTACTCTCCACCACCGGCCAAGCGTATTAAATTGGGTAAGTTGCTTTTTTTCAGAGAGAAAAATTATATTAATGATCTTTCAAATCAACAAATTCTATATTTAATGTATATTCAAAAAGATCTGTCAGACGACAATCTAGTCAGATAGATAAAGATTTACAAAGATGTGGCTCCATCTGCGAATTCATTTTCTTGATAATTTTTTTATCTATCTAAGTAAAGGAGACGGATATACGTGTGTTTCTTAGCTACAATGCTACCATTGACGTTCTTATAATCGGATTTTAGCATAGCATACATGTATACCTACGGATGGTTAATATTTTTCTCGTTTTTGTGTTCTTCTCTTTTCTTTTTTTTTCTTTCTATATTTTTTTACTTGTTCACGTTTGTCACCTCAAAGAAAACTTTGAGCTAGAAAATTGTGAAGAAAAGATTTGTAGTTTATTTCGATTATAATAATTATTCATATGATTAGTATTAAATAAATGTGAAACTTTAGAAAAAAAAAATTGTGTCATCCAATAAAAACATAATATCGTTCTCATTTATTTTCTTTTTATCGAAATTGTAATGCTTCATTAGAAATTACATTTTGTTTTCAAAACGTGTAAATTGTCAGAAATATATATACAGGTGTCTATTAATCTTCACTTTTAAAATAACATATAATATAGTTTTATTGTTTTGATTATTAGTCACCGAAATATTACGAAAGATTTCACTTTTTTTCTGTTTTTATTATTTTACTAGGTGTTTTTTTGGAATCATATAATCAAATTTTCTGAGTCTG